TGTTGTTCGCCCTGTGGATGGTGTTAAGGGAACGCCAGTTGGCGGCCATGAAGTCCAACAACGAGATATGGCTCACCTTTTTCAACGGCCGGTACATTATCTTGTTTATGGGCGCCTTCTCCATCTACACGGGCCTCATGTATAACGACGTGTTCGCGAAGTCCCTGAACCTATTCGGCTCGCAGTACAAACCGCCCGAACCGCTACAGATGTCCAACGTGACCGCCGGTGCCGAGCAGTTCGACTCGCACTCGTACGCCCTGAACCCCATCAACGACACCAAGAGTGACTGGCCCTACCCGTTCGGCATCGACCCCGTGTGGCAGGTGTCCGACAATAAGATAGTGTTCCTCAACACGTACAAAATGAAACTGTCGGTCATAATAGGGGTGATGCAGATGCTGTTTGGGGTGTGCCTGAGCTACTGGAACCACACGTACTTCCGCCGGCGTATTAACATATGGGTGGAGTTCGTGCCCCAAGTGGTGTTCCTGATGGCCATCTTTGGCTACATGAATGGCATGATCTTTGCCAAGTGGTTCAAATACGGCTACCACACCGCCGGCGCCGCCCCCTCCATATTAATCACCCTGATCAACATGTTCCTCATGAAATACGCCGATGAAAACGATGATAAGACACCAAAGTATCTGAAACAATGGTACCCCCAGCAGAAAAACATACAGACAGCGCTCCTGGTGGTAGCCCTGGCCTGTATTCCCTGTATGCTGGCCATCAAGCCCTGGTACCTGAACCGGCAGCACAAGCGCCGCCAGTATCAGCTTCTGATGAGCCAATCGCTGTCCACCGCCGACAACACCATACTCGTGGTCACTGAGGAGGACCACTCTGGTGGTGGTCATGACGGACACGGGGACGGGCCGTTCACACTGGGCGACGCCATCATAAATCAGGCCATTCACACCATCGAGTACTGTCTGGGCTCCATATCCCATACGGCCAGTTACCTGCGACTATGGGCCCTATCGCTGGCCCACTCGCAACTGAGCGAGGTGCTCTGGAATATGGTCATGCAAAAAGGTGTGGTAGGCATCACCTCGTCCACGGCGCTCAACGGCGTGATAATGGTGCCCGTGTTTGCCTTCTGGGCCGCCCTTACCGTCAGTGTACTGCTGGTGATGGAGGGGTTGTCCGCCTTTTTGCACGCATTGAGACTACATTGGGTTGAGTTCAACAGTAAGTTCTACTCCGGGGCCGGGTATGCCTTTCAGCCATTTTCTTTCGATGTGATCCTGGATATGGCTGACAAGGAAACGGCTGTAGAGACTGGGGGTTAGTGATGGGGAACTGGAGTTATGTGTTGCCTATTATTATGGAGATTATAACCGATGTGTGTATTAATAGTGATTTTAAATTTGATTATAAAATGATTTATTTTTATTATTATAGCTAAGAATATGTGAATTTATTACAATTTTTATGATAAATATATGTTATGGTGTAGAATTTCTACCCTGATATTAAAGTTTGTTTAAACTATTTCTAAATTTATAATATTTATAATAGTGATATTATCGATATACCGTATATTTATAAAAAAAATTAATAAAACATATCAGATATACAAAAACTTAAAATATTTGTTTGCATAGGTATTCTGTACCATATTTTAATTTCATGAATAAAATTTATATTAGAATTGAACATGTTAATTAATTTATTAGCCTTTATAGTATGGTTGATTGTCACTAGAATATAATCATTTATAATATTTATTGTCGCAAATGTTTAAAAACACAATCGTTTGAATAGTTTGTGTACTAAATCATTATTTGTTTGCTTAAACTAGCACTTAAACACTGGACTGGCTATTTAATAAACTAGCATATTTTCAAGTATCATAGTTAATATTTAATTCAATTAGTTTCAATTTTATTAACTAATAAGCTAATATACTAGTATATTTTTGTGTAGGTATTACTGAATAAAATGAAGTAGGCTTAATCTGCTTATAGGAATTTATTTTCTACAACAAAAAATCTATAGTTTATCACAAAATGATATTATTTTTTGTGTCTATAATCTACTCAACGATTGATTGTGTGGCCGACAAACAAATCACTAATAATATCAATATTTATGTGCAAATATTTAAACACACTGTTTTATGTAGTACTGTATAGTATAGTTTTATATATAACAAAATAATAAGAAATGTTTTTTGATGAACAGAATATTGTATATATAATATTGCAAAATATATACAACTTATATATAAATATATTTATATACTGTATAAAGGCATTTATCACTCTCTCGTTATGTGTTGCTTATTAATAGACTATTATTATGTACCATTTGTTTGCCTAAATGTTAAGATACACTGGTTTTTAATGATAATAATTCATAAATTAAACTATAACTCTTGGCTTTTAAAAGTAGATTAGAATTTAAAGTAATTTTTTAAAATAAAAATATTACCTATACTAAAAAAGATACTAACAAGTAAGCTACTATACAAACGGTACATTGTAAAGACGTTACTACATAATTAGCCAGTTAATTTTTAAAAAAACTTATGATTGCATTCCATATGATAACATTATTTTATATACACCACTAAATAACAGTAACTTACAGAATAAATGTACAGTATACAAATACAAATCAAGTCTCACGAAAAATGCTTTAATT